ATATATATTTTTTTTATACTTCTTATCTTGTATTCTGCGCGTGTAAGATATTTTCTAAAATAAAATTTCGTCATCGTACTCCGTGCTCCTACACAGAGAGTTCATTTTACGCGCGTTCTATTTAAGCTACGGGAACTTCCTACTCCCATCATAATCCCGCTATTTCTCCCCTCCTGACATTACTGCAATATTGACAATATTGTACCGCCAACACGCCTTAACGATCGCTCGTAATTCTTGCCAGGCGTTTTTGGCAGCCGAGACGAGAGCGCGCGCGTGAATTTGTTCCATCGTAATTCCGCAAGGCGAATTCGTAGAAACGAACCGACCGACCGACCGACCAACCGCGAGATATCGGCCCGGCATAATCGCGCCGACATTCTTTCGTACGCACGTGGTGCGTTGGCAGTTCTCGCACGTGTACGCACTTAAGCGCGGAAGGATCCAGAATCCAATAGACGTGTACACGCGTGTGTACGTGCATCAGTATCCCTGCATACGTGCCGCGATCGTTATATACGCAACTCGTAACCCCTCGGGGTCAAATAGCTCGTCGAACACGGTCCCTCTTCGGTCTCTTTGCCGCTGACATCGTTCTTTACACTCTGTATCGCTCCGATGTAAGAGTAAGAAACGACTAGCCAGCAAGACTAGATTCTTCAAGAGGCTACAGACCCATATTTTTCAAACTTTTTGAGTCGTGACTTCTTCACTTCCTTCAGTTATATTTCTCCAGACCTATATTTTATATTTTGATTATAATAGTAATTTAAATTTATACCAAATGTGTTTTATTCTTATAAGAATAATAATTCATAGCTTGCCAATTGGAATTATAAAAAAAAAATGAATCCAAAGTATCGTGCTTTACAGTTAAATATAAGTTTATTTATTTTATTCTGTTTATAATAAAATTTATTAAATAATTTTATTAATCTTATCAATATTTTATTTAACTGTAAATCAAATGTATGAATGAAAAGTTTGGGGACTTTGCGACTTCTCTGAAATAACGTCGCGACTTCCACTTAAAAAAAAATCATTGCTCTAGACGAATAATATTTGCCTAAGAGCATTGGCATTCGGCGAGAATGAGTCGAACGTTCCTTGAAATTTTAACTTGCTTGGGTTTAAAATATCGTTTTTTATTTCACGTGTATGCATAAGGCATCGATACGTTTCTTCTTTAATTTCGTGACTTTTTATGCGTACGAATACCTTTTTCTCGAAGTTTGGAAACAAGTTGTTGAGAAGATCGATGGTTTCTAGATCCCTATCGCGAACTCGCGGTATTACGCAAGTCGGAAAAATCACGTCCACCACTCGCGTTTTCGTTTTCTCCCCGCCGTGAAACGCGCGGCCGCTAGAAAGCGAGCGCGCGGCGTAACGTCTGCCCATTAATCGCTCGTTGGAAGAAACGAAAATCCAGGTCAGAGACGTGTTGCCTCCTCCCGCGTTAATCAACCGCGCGCGACAATCCTCGAGTGGTTTCTTATCGTTCTCGTCGGCCTGTGGGTTTAAGCTCGCTCCATACGGGACATCATAGGTCCGCAGAAAATGAGATGTAGCGACAAACTGACGGAATCACTGTTCCACTCTCGTGATCACATGTAAAGAACAATTTTGCTGTGAGATCTAAAAATTTGGCCAGATCTGAAAAATAATTTTGTTGGAAAATTGAAAACATGTTATTATTATTATAAAATGAAAATTATTATATAGGATTTGAGAATAATGATAGTATTACAAGTTTTTTTTTTTTATATTTTAGCAACCAATTTGAACGTGTCCCACATAATTATTTTGATGATCTAACAAAAATCATTTTTCTCTATATCCGGTAAAATTGTTTTTTCTGTGCGGAATTAAGATTTCTGGCACATGCAAAATTAGATCATATTTTTTAAATTTATTATTA